TAGAGATATAGGTATATATTATTGCAAAAACTTCATTAGTGAATATAGAGTTTGCTCTTTATGAGTTATGATATTGTATGCTTTTGATATATTCTAGGAATACTTTTGAAAATTCTAATTCAAGATCATCTGTTTGAATTACATATTTACGATGATTCGTATATGGTGTGCTGAATTCTATGGTGTAGATTCCATATTGTTGTGTTAAGTTACATATGTCTTTCAAATAATGTTCAATAATTTGTCTTTTGATTTTTTCATCTGGGAATTCTATTTACATGGACTGATTCCGGGATCAAACAAATTTACAAGTAAATTCTTGCAAAAATCATGTTGCCCTCTATTATCGGGTGCATCTATGAGGAAGGGGTAAACTTCTTCGTCATCTGGACTATCGTCACTTTGAGTGTGGCTCATTTTTTCGTTTGATGACTGCTAATATATAGCTATCAATGTGTCTTATTGGTTGATTCCAGTTATACCAGTTATTCTTCTTTTTCCTCTTTTTGATGAATTTGAATTGTTTCTGAATAGGAAAAATATAATTGATCGTGAATGGGACAATTTTTATCAATTGATTCTTTTAATTTGTAGAGTTCGTCTCAATTGCTGGCTTCTGATTCGGAAAATGCGTTTCTATTTTTTGAAAATTTTTTTCGTGTGATTTGTCTTTGTTTGCTTATAATTTTTCTTTTTATTGTTTGTCGTTTTGTTCTAATGTATCCAACTGTTTGTGTATGAGGTGTGATGACAAGATCGTATTTTTTGTTATCTATCTCACAGTTGTGTAAAACGATTGTTTACTTATTTCCTAGATTTTTGAATGACATAAGGTTTAGGATGAGAGATGCAGAAAGTTGTTAGATATTTCTATTTTCTTAGACTGTTAGTCCTAACGATTTTTTGGTTAGCTTAACCTGGGTCTTTTTATTTAGGGTTGGAGAGAAAAGTATATAGATTCCGAAGAATGATTTTTTACTTTCTCGTGGCTAGTCTAAGCTAAGGTGTTAACTTACTTAATCTTACTTAGGGGTAGTGATTGTGTTCAAGGGTTGGAGAATAGTAAATCGATCCACAAGGTTCAGGTATAATTAGAACGCAAGTAGTTCGTTAGATACTATTTTAAACTTACTAAGTCTAAGATCTATTCTGGGTCTGGTATGAGGAGGGTTCACGTGAAGGATGAATAACCGAAGTTTTTCAATGTTTATCTTAATTTGAATGGTTAGTTTTTTTTAAAAATTTCTATTAATTTTGGGTCTTTTGGAAGGGTTGGATAGTGTATCGTTAGACACTTGCTAAGTGGGTGGGGGAGAACAAAATTGTTCTTTTTGATCCAAGGATAGGCCTTGATGATCAGGTTTTAAATTTAATGAAATAGAGAATTAATTGAGATCCAAGGATAAGCCTTGATGATCTGATTTTAAAATTAAGTGAATTTAAGTTTAAAATGGTTCTAATTTATTTAAGAAAAAGATTTAGTATTCTAATGGTATTAGTGAGCTTATGATTGCTGTTATGTTTAAGTGATGAAGCTGGGACAACAGATGATTTATGATTACTAACAATTTATTGTCATGCTACTAATTTTTCTTTTCATTTTCAATAAATATTTTTCAAATATGTTTTATATAAGACTGCAGAAATTAAGAAAACGATCTGAGATCTTTTTATCAATTGTTATTGTACAATAATAATTTTGTTTAGCGCCTGAAATGATCATGAAGATTGACTTCAAAATGTTATGTTTGCAGATGAAAATCTAAATTCATTGCTAATAAGATTCTCAATATAAAAGTTTGTGTTGGCTTTTGCCGTACTATCATAAAACTATATGGTAAGTTTCTACTTTGTCGTATGTCGTCTCTTGTAAGAGGTCTTCTTCCAATTCCGGATAGTTCTATTATTGTTCGGAATATCGGCTCTGATCTATTGAGTCGTAGAGACATTTCGATTAAATTATTATCGTATAACATTTTGAAAATGTTTTGTCTGAATTCTAATCTATTTTTGGTTAGTTCTAAGCTATTAAGGTCTTATTCGAGACTTATGGTCGCACCAGATGAGTTAGAACCGATGTGGTTAACTCATAGAGTAATTTCGGATAGGGTACACCGTCTGCTCGTCACGCTATCTTATTTTCGGCCGGATAGATTCGTGCAACTTCTTAGTCTAATACCGATCCTAATCTTACTCTTATACTTTCTAGTCTCAGGGTGTTTAACTAGTCTCTGCTAGGCTCAATAGATCTAGGGTATACTGGTTTGTTGCGGCTGCTGAAGTTCTCTTGGAGAGACAACTAATTTCTAAGTTAAATTCAAATCTCTCTGGTGCTGAAATTACAAGTAATTTCAGCACTTACAAATAAGTGGGTTGTTGGTTAGATGGATCATGATTGGTCAATATTAAATACTTTACAGTGGTAAAATATGTAATTTATCCAATCATAAAATATAGTTTAGATCAGGTTCCAGCAACGTGAGAGCCAGCACATTTGCAATGCGACACGTAATTATTTTAGGGTCCGGATACAAAGCTTTGGGCGCCAATCGAACCAAATTTCTGAGCACTTCCTTAAATTTTTTCAAGCTTAGATAATTGGGACTGTTTATAATGACGGCAAGAAAGCGTTTTCCTAGAATTTTTTTGTGTAAAATGTTTTTCATCGCTTGCTTACGATCAAATGGTTTGCCTTAAAACAGAACATTTCACTACAACAAAAAAGCTTCAGCAACAACAACAACAACAACAACAACAACAACAAAAAACTCTAACAACAACAACAACAACAACAACAACAACAACAACAACAACAACAACAAAACCAAAACAACAATAGCAACCAAAATATCATCAACAGCAGCAACAACAAAAAAAATTAATTTCACACTATGTAAATACATAGTGTGAAATTATCTGAGCTAAAAACTGGTGGGGTCAAATGTTACGGGGTCGAAACAGAGGACACCACATTGTACTTCCTTTGATACAAGCTTGAAAAGCTTTAAATTTTTCAACTCATTCGTTTATCCAAGTTTAACTATATTTCTCCGGGCAGAACTTTATCGTCGTTCTAAGTTAGCCTTATGAAGGGTGTGTTTCTAAAAGTGTCCGTTTTATCTGTAATTGCAACCATGATCATATCAGTCCCTCAGTTCAACGGGTGCTATTAACTACCAGACCGGAGGAGAATTCATATCACTAGAAATGTGAAAAGGACCGCCTTCTTTAGCCCCCGGGAGATTTTATGCCAGATTACACCTTCATTAAACCATATTCAAGTAACTGAAAGAATGAAAAGAACAAAATTATACGGTTGAAGAATACACTCATTATTCCATATCAAATTCCGTCTCCATATTTTAGAAAAGGTTTTATAAATATACAAATTGAAAGCGTTAATCCAAGACGAAATTACTGAAAAAAAAAAATTCTCCGGTTCCTGGCGTCTTAGAAATTGATAGTTGAATAGATGAAAATTTGGTGTTCAGAGTGTTGCTTATTGTAACTATCGCTATGCTAATTTTTATATAGCATGTTAGATTGTACTAAAATAAGGATTTTAGTGTTTTGCCTTGACTTCCGTGTCTCAATATTGGGCTGAAAAATATAACATGGAATAGACAAACTAGGCAGATTTGTGACTAAAATCTGCTTTTAAAAAATAAAGCAAGAAACAACATCAAACGTACTTTATTGAATCGGCGTCGTATTCTGTTGAAGTAATTAACTCCTGAAAAACCACTCATTGTTCCGTATTTCCAAGAAAGTGACGCCGGAATGTTTATGCTTGCGGCGGTGTTTTTCATGCAGACTATTCTTTTTAATTAACTGTTTTTGACCAATTTTTCAATAGCATCTGAACGAAAGTGATGCCTGAGCTAATTTTTTTTTAAAAAAACCGTGAAAAATGTAGGTCTCATTTCTCATACCACCATTTTTCATAGTGTGATCATATTCAACCTCTGATCATTTTTCGTAACGAGTTTGAGATTTGCCTTTTTGTGCAATTTTGCAGACCAGTGAAATTACCAAGATCAGATATTATTCCCAATTGACTTGAGATAAGAAAATTGGTCCAAACAATGTGTTAGTAGATTCAAAAGATATTATATATTGAGTGTAAGGGGAAGACTTAAAAAACATTTTCATTCAGGGGCGGATCTAGGATTTTCTCGACGGGGGGGGGGGGGATTTTCAAAAAAAATTCGAAAAACTTGACGACCTTTTTTTTGGTCGACCAAATTGATTTTTCGAGCTCTCCCAAAGCACTGTTTTGCCCCTATATAGGCTAAATTTTCTGCGCCGCAGGCAACTTTTTGAAAAAACAGTCAAAAAATCTTTTTGAAAAATTTTGACAAAAAAATCGCGTTTTTTTTGGCGCGTGCTCCCCCTCAAAGTTAGTATATATTGGCGCCAAAGGCGCCTTTAGAAAAATTTTAGGGTCGGTCGGTCAAAAATGGATTTCTTAAAAAGTACCAAAGGGGGGACCCTTTGGGTCGGCAGGGGGTCGAATCCCTGAGGGAAGGGGGCGTCCGCCAATACCCCCCCCCCCCCCCCCAAATCCGCACCTGTTTTCATTAATATTTTTGAAAATTTCATCAAAGATGTTGAAGACATCAAAGTTCAAATCTAACTTATTTTCCCCTGAAATCTAATCTTCATTAAAATTACAGAGGGGTCCCAAATCACTCTAACTCTACGCAAATATAGAAAGTATAGTGTTTCAATGGACGTTGCTCCATCGTTTTCAAGACTTTTTCCCCAAAAGTAATTAACATGCCTCATTTGCGCTAAAATATTTGACGCTTTAAATGGCATCACAGTGGCAATAAATTGAACACTTTCGAAGCACAATTTTACACAGGGACCCCTTTACATTCATGGGCCCCTCTATCACACGTTGTACCTTAACACCAGCTAGTGAGCTCAGTAAATATCCTTCCTGAAAAAATCTGGAAAATTAACAAATCATATAATTTTTTTATTTTAAGCGGACACTTTTTCTGGAATTGAATAAAACTTAAAAGAGGATGGTTCACAAAACATACACATCTTTTGAAAAAATTTGTTCATACAAAAACAAACGCAGTTAGAAAGCTGGTTTTGACTTCAAAGCATATCCGTTCACTCCAAAATAAGAAAATCGAGTGACGTCGTGATTATGTTTTGACACATCAGTTCAGTACAGATTACATTTCAAACAGGTTTTGCTGTATAATCATCAGTTTCGGCTGATCATCAATTTGGATGCGAGTAAGTTTATGGGTCGGATGAGTCATTGGGATGAGGAGGGTGAGTTGTGGTTCTTTTCAGCGGCAGTATTTAATGCGGATGTGGTGTTTGATATGGATGAGTGTCCTTTTCGCTTCTTGAGGCCATGCACCATAGCTGCTCGAATGAAATCGAAGAACTTTTCCCAAGCAATGATAGTCTTCTTCTTCCACTGTCCCTTCTTAGCCATTGCCTCCACGTAGGCGGGACAGAAATACTGAAGCAGAAAATTTGTTTTATAAAAACTGATTTTCTGCGTCATCAAATTTTCCTCTAGAGATAGGATACCATCATAGAAAAGTTTTAATTCGTTTTGAATACGGGGCTTAAAAACTCTAAAATGTGAAAAATATATTTGCTTCGATGCTTTGATTTTATTATTTGAACAAGAACCGTCATTTCGTATACGGACGGCATGAACTTATGGAGTGCGGTCTGTATTTAGACAACCGCGTAGTCCTACTCGTCAGTAAGCAGACAAATGCTGTTTCAACCAGTCAGAATCGAGACAGGAAGAAATAAATAAGTAACTATTATTTATTTCTAAAGTTTGCTTTCTCATCTCGATTCTGATTGGTTAATACAGTATTTGTCTGCTGACTGACGAGTACGAATACGCGGTTGTCTAAATGCTGCTACGTAACCGAACTCATAATTATATATTTAAATCATCAGATGAGAAATCCCGCAGCATAAAACGTGGGATTTAAATGTAATTATTTTCTGACCTAAACTAATTAAAGGCAGGAACTGGTGAAAATAATTCTTTTGCCTGCAAACAGAACTGGAGGTTCCTGTTTTTTTTTCTTTACAAAATGGCTTAAGAGATTAAGGGCAGCCTCTGAGTCTTGTTATTTTCATCAACTGTTTAGGAAACTACAGTTCTTTTATCTAATGAAATGCTGAAGGTAAGAAATGTCTCCCAGCGTAATCTTTTGAAGTTGACCTTTTTGTTTTAGAGAATAAAAGCTTGTCCCAATTTAGAAACTACAGACAATCTGACTCCATCAACAACTTTTCATTCAAATTTTCTGTTTCCTCCGACTTTTTCAAATTTAATTTTGTTCCGCGAAGAAAATAAACAAAAAAAATTTGGATAATTCTTCCTGTTTCAAATTAATTAGTTGTTAGAGCAGGGATAGCTTGTTCATATCTCGTATGAACAAGCCATCACCCAACAGCCTCTTTTGAATTATCTTTAAAGATAATTAATCCGATCACGCTGAGGGAAGCAACTAAATAGTTGTTTGGCTTGTTATCTCCAGACAAATTGAACTGCCACAAAAAAAGGTCAGATGAGGGGGAGTGATTTGTCATTAAAAAAACGCTTCAGTCAACACTCCAGGTGTATTCAAAAACTTCCCAGTATTTTTCTCAGAGTCTACTTACTTCTGTAAAAGCGTCGAAACCTTCATTTTTTTATCCAACTTTCGTAGCGAAAGTAACGAAATATTTGTGCTCGAGGGTGTGTTTTTAGTCAAACAAATTTTGACTTTCTAACTAACAATTTTTGACAGAATTTGTTTCAATCATTCAAAATGTTTTGTTGTCCTGAACTTAAATTTGAAACCATATTTCACCTGTGATCATTTTTCGTAAAGTTATGAGGGTTTAAAGATTACCATTTTGGCCAACTTGGGACAATTAACGCGCGATGTATTTCGCGCTATTAACGCGTAAGCAGAGATTCAATCCGTCCTAGAAATTGTTCCAAATTGGTTGAAAGAAGCTTATTTGCCAAAATTGTTTTGTTACAAGGAACGAAATTTATTCTTTTTTAGTTTATATGGCGTGTGGGGGGATGATTTTCATGGAAAAAATTTCAAATTAAAAAAAAAAAGTTCATATTTTTTTACGTTTATTTTGTTAATGATATTTATGTTATTACCCGCACTGACAAAAATGGATTAGGATCGATTTTAGTATGAAAAAAGTACGTTGGTTAAATTTAGATCGATTTTAGTATGAAAAAAGAACGTTGATTAAATTTAGATCGATTTTAGTATGAAAAAAGTACGAAGATTAAATAAAAAAGATGAAGATTGATTTGGATCGATTTAAAATCAATTTAAATTGATCTTAAATCCCAGCTAAAAAAAATGATCGAAATCGATTTTAAATCAATTTAAATGCTTTTTTTTCCGTCTGAATTTGTTTTTATTTTTAAGGGGATTACTATTAATAAAAATTACTATTTTGATAGCCGATATTTGACTGAAAATTAAACCACCCGAGAGCATAAATTTTTTTGCAAGTTTTAAAAATTCTTGGAACAATAAAATGCCCAATTAGCTCGCCTGGTTTCAATTCAGAACAATTTTGGGTGCCGCAACAACTCGTGTTACGCTTTTGCATCATATATTGATTCCTCAAAACGAGCAGTTTTTATAGTACAGAGCTGAGATATGATCACCAGCGGATTTAGGGAGGGGGGGGGGCAGACGCTTCACCTTCCCCCCTCTCAGGCTATTGACCCCCTGCCGACCCAAAGGGTCCCCGGTTTGTACTATTTTGAGATATCCATTTTTGGTGACGGACTAACTAACAATTTTTGACAGAATTTGTTTCAATCATTCAAAAGGTTTTGTTGTCCTGAACTTAAATTTGAAACCATATTTCACCTGTGATCATTTTTCGTAAAGTTATGAGGGTTTAAAGATTACCATTTTGGCCAACTTGGGACAATTAACGCGCGATGTATTTCGCGCTATTAACGCGTAAGCGGAGATTCAATCCGTCCTAGAAATTGTTCCAAATTGGTTGAAAGAAGCTTATTTGCCAAAATTGTTTTGTTACAAGGAACGAAATTTATTCTTTTTTTAGTTTATATGGCGTGTGGGGGGATGATTTTCATGGAAAAAATTTCAATTTAAAAAAAAAAGTTCATATTTTTTTACGTTTTTTTTGTTAATGATATTTATGTTATTACCCGCACTGACAAAAATGGATTAGGATCGATTTTAGTATGAAAAAAGTACGTTGGTTAAATTTAGATCGGTTTTAGTGTGAAAAAAGAACGTTGATTAAATTTAGATCGATTTTAGTATGAAAAAAGTACGAAGATTAAATAAAAAAGATGAAGATTGATTTGGATCGATTTAAAATCAATTTAAATTGATCTTAAATCCCAGCTAAAAAAATGATCGAAATCGATTTTAAATCAATTTAAATGCATTTTTTTCCGTCTGAATTTGTTTTTATTTTTAAGGGGATTAAAACGGATTAAAATCGATTTAAATCGATTTTTTGCCTTCGAGATTTATCAGTTTCGAATTTTTATTGCATTTATTCATTGCCTATCATTTTTCATTTTACATCCATAGCGTATTGTAGCATAAAAAAGACCAAGCGAAATGGTCAAAATATCGATAAAATTCTATAAATTTCTACAATGATCCGTTTCTTGATTCCTTTTATCCGAAATTTTGCCCGAAATCTGATTTATCTTCAAAATTTTCTATGATTTAATTGCATATTAATGAGATCAAATTTTAATTTTTCTGACCCTTTTCTTGTTTGTTACCTAGGATTTACAATAATTTTCTATAATTACATTGCCTTTTTTCGAGCTTAAAATTTGATTCATGTAGATAATTTTATTGAACTTTATAACATATGGCACGAGTGTTTATATTTGAAAAATCGAGAATAAAAAAATTTAACGATTTTTAAAGGGTGTTATTTTCGCCTTGTTAGCAAAAAAATGATTCTAGTGGGTATGAAAATCCATCCAAATCGATCTTAATCGATTTTTTAGACACTTAAATTGATTTAAAAATTTCAAAAAGATCGATTAAAAAATGATTTGAGTGAGTTTCGGATGGATTTTAGTGAGTCGGAAAATCCATCCAAATCGGTTTAAATTGATTTTTTAGACACTTAAATCGATTTAAAAGTTTCAAAAAAATCGACTTAAATCGATTTAAAATCAATTTAAGTTCGTAAAATGTACATTGTTAATCGATTTGGATCGATTTAAATACGATTTAAAATCAATTTAAATCGATCCGAAACCATTTTTGTCAGTGCGGGTACTGCTCCATAAACCTTAAAAGGCAGTCGGAACATTCAGGGCTTCGCTCTGATACGAGCAGTCTTAATAGTTTTAAAACTTAATGAAATGCAGGTTTCATAATTAAACTGCGTTACGCTTTCAGCAACATAAGTTTTCAGCACGCAAACAATGGACCAGGGCACGGTCAAATTGGCGATATTCACACCCCCAGATCATCACAAAAAACTTTTGACGGTAAAATGTCTATATAAATGTAGCGAGTCAAAATATTCAATAAGAAATAAGAATAATTGGTAAAAATTACTGTTTTGATAGCCGATATTTGACTGAAAATTAAACCACCCGAGAGCATAAATTTTTTTGCAAATTTTAAAAATTCTTGGAACAATAAAATGCCCAATTTCAATTCAGAACAATTTTGGGTGCCGCAACAACTCGTGTTACGCTTTTGCATCATATATTGATTCCTCAAAACGAGCAGTTTTTATAGTACAGAGCTGAGATATGATCACCAGCGGATTTAGGGAGGGGGGGGGGCAGACGCTTCACCTTCCCCCCTCTCAGGCTATTGACCCCCTGCCGACCCAAAGGGTCCCCGGTTTGTACTATTTTGAGATATCCATTTTTGGTGACGGACTCTAAATTTTTTCTAAAGCGCAACTTTTTTTGGTCAAAATTTTCCAAAAAGTCCCGATAAAAAAGAAAGATCAACAAAATTTTCGAAATTGTTTGAGAATCTGCCATTACCCCCCCCCCTCTTGGAAATCCTAGAGATGCCCCTGGATATGATCAAGCATAGAACACAACTCCGATTCCAGCAAAAATCACCGATTCCAGCAAAAAATATATTTTAATGAAAAATTAACCATACAAAGTATACAAAATCCTCATTTTATTCGAAAGCCTGACGAATTGTCCTTTCATTGCTCATTCTGTGAAACAAACTCTGAGATACTTGCTTAGAAACCGCTGTTTGTTTTTAATTTAACGTGTTCAAATGACTAGCACCAATGCTTGCGTCGAACCATCAATTTGTTTTTTCATTTGTTTTTGATTTATAGAAAAAAGACCAATAAAAAAGAAAAAAGCGCAATTGACTTAAACTTTATGTTCCTAGTATGCACAGAGCTAGCAGTTCAAAGATAGCTTTCATTCAATATAACTTTAAAAAGGTTGCTTCATTTGAGAATTATTATATTGAG